ATCAAGGAAACTTTCATGGAGGAGGCAACACTTGAATTAGATTTGATATAATACTGTTGTTCTATAGTTAATAAGGGTTATCATTTTAAAATAATGAACAGTTAGAATAAACCCTCATGGTCATAGGGAACAATTTAACAAATCATATGTTTTTAAATGATGTCAATAGGACTTCTTTTTTAGAACCTGAATGAAACAAGAAACCAGCCCATTTTCCTGAGCTAATTATCTTTTCATTTCAAAAATATTTTTTCAACCTATTGTGCCCAAGTGTCATAGTATTTAAAACAAGAATGTATTTTTATTATAGCCACAGTTATACTATTTACCATTTTTTGAGCACCTACCTTGTTTCAGGAACTATGCTAAGCATTTTCAAATATTATCTCCTTTCTATCCCTACAACAATCATCTGAGGTAAAGATTCTTATTCTTGTCTTATTAAATAACTTGAAATCACACAGTTAGTAAAGGCTAGGAAATACTTCTAAACATTTATGTGTAAACAATATTAAAACTATGTTTTCCACAAAATACAAAAATAAAAGAACCATTCGTCAGCATTTATGGAAAGATACACAGAACTTTATGCAATACAGAGGGAAGAGAAGTAAAGCAGATAAGGAACTGCCTGACCTCTTGGACAATTAAAAAATGTAATTATAGTCATGACGTCTTTTTCCATTGAAATGGTTAACAGAGACATGGACAGGAATATTGAAACACATTGTCTTTCAAAGGGAGTTTTCATTTTTAAAATATGATTCTGTATTATTTATTCCTCTGTGCACATAAAGTTTAAACTATTCCTCATATATTCACCGACTCAGGCGTCTATTTCTTAAATCTTTTATACAAGGAAATATGAATAGTTTTTCTCTGAGGAATATAATGCCATTTAAAATTAAGCATTTTCAATTTCTCTTTAATTTAAATCTCCTACAGTTTGTTACAGAGGGAACTCCTCAATTCACACAAATTACGATATTGTTTTGTTTGCTTGTTTGGAATCTAATCTTCAGAAATCTGGAAAACACTAATAATGATGTTATTTTACATCAATTTATTTTAAATGCCTAGGCAAAGATTAACCGTATTATTTTGTATTTTAAGACCCTAAATAGAATTTCTACTACTTTTTTCACTGTCACTGGAAGATCCAGATATTCCTTCACGTATTATGTTCTTAGTTACAGCTTGAAGGTGCCATCTAGAGGCCCGACTGGAGAATGTTCTGAGACAATGAGAATGAATTTTAATGGAACCAAAAAAAAAAAAAAAAAAACCCTCAAGCCTTTTGCTGTCATCACATAGATTCCCACTAGTAGCAATGCTATAGAATTGTTCTCACCAGGTTTCCAAGGCTGTGATCTTTGCAGAAGCAAACTGCTACACCTATCTCCCTTGGTGCGACTAGTAGGTTCAAATTGCCAGCCTATTGGTAAGCAGCTGAGTGCTTAACAACTGTGCCACCAGGGCTCCTCTTTGAATGAGACATTGAGAGTCATGTAATTTGAAATGTATTTATATCTTAAAATACATCATTTTTCTCAAACTTTTTTTTCCCAAAAAAATCATTTCATTAAATAGACCAAAAATATTTTATGCGAAAGATTAATACTACTAATTCTTACTAGTTTTCTTATCTTAGCCAAAGTTCTAGGTTTTATCAGCTCATTTGTAAATGTTATTTGGGTCAGTGGAAGAAAAAATTTTCCTACTAATTTTGATTTTCAAAGTGGTTGTTGTAAAGTACAGAGCTTGCACAAATAGCTGCATACGATAAGGAAAACAAACAAACAAAAAAAACTCACTGCTGTCCACTCAACTCCGACTCACAGCGACTCCTCCTTGGGTTTCCAAGGTGGTATCTCTATGGAAGTAGATTGTCCAGTCTTCCTTCCAAAGAGTCCAGTCTTCCTTCCAAGGAGTGGCTGGTGGGTTTGATCTACCAGCCTTCTGGTTAGCAGTTAAATGCCTTAGGTAACTGACAGTCAATGAAATCTTGATAATCGCCTGCCCATAAGTCATCATACCATTCTTAACTCCATAGTTCACTTGAAGGTAGTGCCTACAACAGCTCAGTAATAAGTTGCAAAAACTCAAATTATGAAAGTGGCTGATATTGAGCTTTTATTCTTCAGTTTCACTTCCAAAAACAAAAAACCAAACTCATTGCCATGGAGTGGTTTCCAACTCATAGAAATCCCCATTGGGTTTCTGAGACTGTAAATCTTTAGGGAAGTAGATCGCCTGTTCTTCCTTCTCCAGAGTAGCCCAGGTATGTAGTAATTCAATGCCAGACTAGATGCAACAGAGAGGCATCCCCCAGGATAACCGCTTTATGGTACGTTCCATGTGAACTCAGATGAATCCAACAAGACCACCAGCCCTATACAGGCTTAAAAAAGTAGCAGCGGGAGCAAGGAACATCTACAATCTTCTAAGACTGGAGCTCTTACCCCTGGCTTCAGTTGCATGAGTAATGCTACCCTCTAACTCCTGGATCTTTCTCCTCTTCAAGGTTTTAGAGCTTGGAAAATATTTAAATGTACAAGCAGTTGGTTTTAACTCCTTTTCATTCAATAGTTTGGATGGTTTATGTCTTCATTCCCTCCCATTCAATCATGCAAAAAATCTTGTCACATAAAGTGTATGCTGGTTGTCCTTAAGTAAGTTTTCCTTATAGCCTCAAATCTCAAAAGAGTTCACAATAAATCAACTAGTAGCTTTTCCTCATCTTCCTCTTCTTCTTGGATTATCATATTATAATGTCAAGCACATGGGTGATTACACATACACACATGTATATATAGACATCCTCAGCCATGCAATGTTAAAGTAAATATTATTTGTGTTAAGTTGGTCAGGACAAGTGCATTATTAGATTTTTGTATAATTATTGTAGGTCATAAGAAAATGGAATCTTCCCACCATTTATCTCAGTAGTTGTTTAACTAGATATGAAAATCCAGCTATATCTTGGTTTCTTTCTGTGATTTTTTGCTTACGCTCCATTGGTGTTCTGTCAACTTCTCCTTTTGTAATGATTATAATCATTTTCCTCATCCCACTAGAGAAAAAAATAGAAATTCCTAATACTTCTTTGCATACGAAAAATGTAGGGTTTTTTTTTTTTTTCCCCCTTTTATGTTTACTTTCACTCCTAGTCCTGCATCTTGAAAGTGGAAATATACTGAGATGACAGAAGCTGGGGAAATGAAGGAAGGAATAACTTCAAATTCTGTACACACATGAGAAATATATGTTAATAAGCTAAAATTTTGATGACAGAAAACTCCTAGAAAACAATGAGTGTAGAAGGATACTAATGTGTGGAGCAGAACTAGGAAGGAAATATATATGTATGGACGAGTTTAATTAGATTGATCAGATCCTGGTCACCTGCAAGACTCTTTTACAACTCCGTACCTCTAAGAATGGCCCACACCAAAAAAAATAAAATAAAATAAAAAAATAAAGTCTGTGTTTCATTCTACTAGGTTTTACTCTCTTAGATACCAGTTTTGGAGGCAATCCAGTCTCGGAAGGCAGTCACTCTTGTATAAACCCCGGGCTTATTGGGTAGCCCACATTCATCTCCCCAGCTCACTATTCCAGCAAGGTACCAGATATCCCTAGCATTTGGACTGACCAGTGGTCCTCCAGAGTCACCCTAAAGGAAGGGAGAGATTAGTAATTAATAATTCAGTTCATTACAGAGGGATTTGCTATTTTCTAAGTTAAGAGTTTAATGAAATGGGTTATTTTCAAAAGTCTTCAGTGTGTTTTAATGTAGGAGTGCTTCCTTGGATCTCCATTAGTTATCTACATAAAGAGGGGCTCCAATTCCAATCAGATTCAGTCCACTGAGACTCTGCTTCATTAGAGAGTGGTGCTCTTAGCTTATCTGGTATGTAGGACAAAAACAAGTCCCTGCAGAGTTTGTCTCTTTATCATGGTGATGTGTCTCCATAGAAGGGTGGAGAATCTACTACTGATAAAGAATGTGAGTGTTACAGTAGACATTTGGGATTAAATCTCATATCTAAGCCATTTCTGTCAAATCAACTCTGATTCATGATGACCCCACGTGTGTCAAAATAGAACTGTGTTCTACAGAGTTTTCAAAGGACTGACATTTTTGGAAGTAGATCATCAAATTTTTCTTCTGAGACACCTCTGGGTGGACTCAGACTCCAACTTTTTTAGTTAATAGCCTAACAGTTTAACTGTTTGCACCACCCAGGCACTCCATCTCAGATCTAACCCTTCCAAACTGGCTAATTCCTTCAATCTATTTATTTGTAAGTGCTCCTAATAATGCCTAACCCAAGTGATTATTCTGAATTATGTAAGACAGTGAACATAAAGTGATTAATACAGAGCCTGACCTAAAGCAGAAATTAATAAATGTATAAATACATACATATATACAACCAATTTAAATTATCTATATCTTGTGAACTCTAGAGAGCTACTTCTTTATGAATGTTTTAAGTACAAGGTACTGGCAGATCATTCCTCAGCCAGTAAACTCTCTGTTTATTGACCACTCATTAAGTGTTTACTACTCTATGAAATTCTTAATTAATTAACATATTATCTCATTAATTCACATAATCCTTGCAATAAAGCATAAAGATAGATTTTTTTCCCCACTTTATTTCCCTGAAACTCAAAATACTTCTGTAATTTTTCTATGTTAATGAAAAATAGAATTTGAGTTTGTATCCAGAGGTCTCTAACTCGGAAATGCAAGCTTTTTTCCCAACATTATACTACCTTCCTGTGAATTGTCATATAACCATATAAAATATTAACTAATATTAATAGTTGCATTTGAAATAATGTTTTATAAAATAAATTAAGCAATTAATATTTACTGATATCCTCATATGAGTTAGACAACATTAAAAAAGTGTAAATACAAGAACCTTGCCCTTAAGGATATTATAGTAAAACCTGCCACAGCCAGAACCTGTGTAAGGCAGAAATGTCAGAGAGAAGAAACGCTCAAATTTTTATTTATTATTTTCCTCTAATAGAGATAGAAAAGTGGCAAGACTGCACCCTGTCAAAGGCAGGAAACTTACAAAACCCAGAAAAAAACAAAGCATGTCTCATCTAGTTAGAGCTTTCCCAGGTTTCACTGTATAATCTGCTTACAAAAATAAGGTGCTCATGTGAAAGCTATATAAAATAAATCATTTTGTTAATTGGGACCCAACCCTACATGAAGGCAGAAAAAAGAGCAGATTATCCATTTGGAAAATACTCTGATGAAGCCAGAAGTGGAATAAAGTTTTTTTTTTTTTTTAATGCAATGATGGCAAAAACCTAGGTGTAGTGTATACATGAAAGAATAAGAGAATAAAGACACAAAGTTTTCTAAAAAATGAAATAAAATAAAATAGATAATGTACCATCTTTTGGATTCAGATTGGAAATCATACAAATTAAGATGGAATTTCAAATAGCAATATGGAGTTTAAAGAGCACATTAGGCATAGGCTTGCCAAACCACAAATAAAAATCATAGGAGAATTTAGTCACTTGCGCCAGGGCTCCATTCTTAGCTTTCTCCAATATTTTATTGGCAACATGGATAGAGACAAAGAAGTCATACTTCTCATATCTGGAAAAGGTACAAGGTTGACCACTCATTTATATACTAGAAAGCAAAATCAGGCTTTAAGCACAGGAAAAGTGAAAAGTTACCTACAAGGGGAAACCAATAAGACTAAACTCAGATTTCTCAACAGAAACCATGCAGGCGAGAAGACAGTGGGATGGTATATATAAAACACTGAAAGAGAAAAATTTCCAAACAAAAATTATGTACCCAGCAAAATTGTCCCTCAAACATGATGGTGAAATTAGGACATTTCCAGATAAGCAGAAATTAAGGGAATTTGTTAAAACCAGACCAACCTTACAAGAGATGCTAAAGGGAGCCCTTTGGACAGAGAAGCAACAGCCAACAACAACTGACCATTAACACACATGATGGTATAACCCAGAAACCAACACAGCTATGGAAGTATCCAAAGTAAATAAGCCTACAAGATTGTAAACAGGGAACCAAAGACACAAACCGACACATGAGGACAACTACAAACCAAAAAGAGGGAAAAAAATCTGTGTTGTTACAGAACCTCTAGATGGTAGGGAAGTCAAGATGACTACAAGACAGAATGGACTGTTCTACACTTGGGAAGAAAGCTATAAATCATAGAGTAACCTCAAAGAAAAATGATAAACCTTCACATCAAAATAAAAAAGAGGACGAGCATAAATATTTAGCAAATACTAAAACAATAGCAATGAAGAAAGTGATAACATGATTCATGAACAAAATGAGCTCAGCATAGAAAATTATATGGAACAAAGAAATCGACACCACGAAAAAGCACATGACAAAAAATGACAGCAACAAATTCATATTTGCTGATAATTACATATCTGACAAGGGACTTATCTCTAGGATTGATGGAAAACTCCAATGCCTCAACACCAAAGGAATTAACAATCCAATTGAAAAATGGGCCAAAGACATGAATAGACACTTCATCAAGGAGGATATTCAGGTAGTCAGCTAATACATGAAAAGATGCTCACAATCATTGGCTGTCAAAGAGATGTAAATTAAAACAACAATGAGATATACTGTCTCACCCCAGCACTGATAGCAAGGTTCAATGAGAGAGAAAATAACAAATGCTGGTGGGGATGTGGAGAGACTGGGACTCTCATACACTGCTTGTGTGACTGTGAAGTGACACAACCACTGTGGAAAGCAATATGGCGATTCCTTAGAAAGTTGGAACTGGAGATACCATTTGACCCAGAAATCCCATTACTAGGTATATATCCTAGAGAGCTGAGAGCCAGGATAGGAACAGATACATGCATGCTCATGTTCATCACAGCACTATTTACAATAGCAAAAAAGATGGAAACAACCTACGTGCCCATCAGCGGAAGAATAGATGACCAAACTATGGTACAGACACATACTGGAATGCTATGCAGCACTAAAGAATAATGTAGAGTCTGCAAAACACCGCATAATATGGATGAACTTGGAGGACATTATGCTGAGTGAAGTAAGTCAATCACAGAAGGACATTATTGTAAAAAGTCAAGGAAAGGTTTATATATAGAAGGAAACTTTGTTGTTTATGGTGGGGAGAGAAGGAGAGGGAACACTGAAAAAAAATGCACTGACCCGTGTCACTTTAGTTTTGTGTATTTAACTGTACATAAATTATATTTCAATAAAATGCATTGAAAAAAAAAAAAAGATGTCTACTCTGGACTAACTTTACTTACACCCCCACCCCACCCAGTAACACTAACTAACTCACTACTGTTGAGTAGAATCAGACTCAGAGCTACCCCTCCTTGGGTTTCCAAGGTGGTATATCCATGAAAATAGATTGCCCGATCTTCCTTCTGAGGAGTGGCTGGTGGGTTTGCACCACCAGCCTTCTGGTTAGCAGTCAAATGCCTTAGACACTATGTCACCAGAGCTCCTAGAGCTAAAAAACAAAAACAAACAAACAAACAAAAACCTGAACATGAGAAATAAAATAAATACAAGAAAACTTTGAAATGTAGAAGGAAGCCACCAGATAGGCTAAGAAACTCAGGAATCAAGGAACTACACAGCAAAACCCAGAGTGAGTTCCCTGGGTTTTCTTTTTGCTTCATCTATGCTGGACTTGGAGCTGAAGAAACCAGCAACCTGCCACCAAGAGCAGATAAAAAAGTAACCCGATGAACACCTGCTCTCTGTAGCAAAAGAACCAGGAAGCAGGGGAAAAAATAATAATATTAGATAATAACTTCTGTACTCTGACCCAACAGAAAAAAAGCCACAGCTCCATCTCCATCCTCATCAGCAAAGCTCAAGGGGGAAATCTATACTTCTTCCTTCATCAGGCTACAGCAATCACCTGGCAGATTGGTGTCAGAGAAGGCCAAGTGGAGAACCAAACATTCATCCCTCTCAGACAGTAACTAAACTCCTCCACCTCCCTTGTGGTCTCATAGAAGATCAAGTGGGGCTTATGAATGACCACCCCTTATGCAATGATACCTTAAGATGTTCCTCTCCTTACCCACTGGGGTAGTGTCAGAGGAGGTTTAATGGAGATTCGGGACTTTTATTACAACCCAGTAGTAATGAAGCCACCCCTGACCCAGGGTATCAGTAATGTCAAGGGGAGAAGAATAACAAGGCACTCCTACCCTTTCAAGGCCAGGTCAGGGGCCTGAAATTGTACCTCTGCTAAACAGTAATAAGGCATTACTTCCCCATCTGGGTGACAAGAAAGAATGAGTGGGGAATCTAGACTTCCATAACTAGTTGACAGTAATGAAGTGGCAGACTCCCATCCCTAATCATGTGGTCTCAGAGGAGGCCTGCTAAAACAGAAGATTCAACTATTTAAGTAGAATCCAGAGTCTTATAACATAATGGGCAAAATATCCCAAATACATTTGAAAATAATTTGTCATACCAAGAAACAGGAAAATCTCAGTTTGAATGAGAAAAGGAAATCAAAGATGACAACAGTGAAATAATACAGATGTTGAAATTATTTGATGAAAATGTTAAAGCAGCTATCATATAAATATTTCAATGAGCATTACCACCATGCTTAAAATAAATAAATAGAAAGTCTCAGCAAAATAAATAAATAAATTAAATAGGAGATGTAAAAAGAACCAAATAGGTATCTTAGAGCTGAAAAATACAATAACTAAAATATAAACCTTAATGGATAGACTCAATAGCAGAATAGAGATGACAGACCAAAGAATCAGTAAACATGAAGACAGAATGATAGAAATGACCCAATCCGAAAAACAGAGACAAAATGCATGGGGAGGGAAAAAAAAAAAAAA